TAAATTTATTTTTGTAAGCCATTTAATTAATTTTCACCTAAATTTTAAAATATTAAAATAGCATTACTTTGAAAGATATTCTGGTCATCTCTTAAAACAGGTCTCTTAATCGGGTCTTGGAATTAAATCTTATTTTCGAATATTTAAAAGATTTAATAGGTATTATAATTTTCAATTAAGGAAATAGTTTAGGTGAAAAATCTCAGTTTTTTTATGTTTTTCATTAATATTTCTAAATTTAAATATTTCGTACATTATTAAACTTAAAACATTTAATTTACCTTATTTCAAGTAGATTAAAGATTAAATTTTATATTAAAATTGTTTACAATTACAATATTTATCATATTTTCCTTTTTTGTTCACATTTTAGCAGATTAGTTTATCATATACTTTTGCCAATAGTTAAATTTTATTCATAAGGTATTCATAAATAGATTATCCAAATTTATGAAATTGTTATATATCACTTATGTTATCTTTCAACCGATATACAATTTTTGTAAATTATATTAAAAGATTGCATTTTCTTATACACCGTTGAGGTAATGTCCGTGATTGATAAATTTAACGGTTTTAGGGAAAATATAATATATACATACTTATATTAAAACCAGACCTAATTACTATTGTATATATTATTTACTTTTTATACAGTTAAAATATACAAATCAACACGCGATTTAACTCTATAGAATTAAAATTAAAATATACAAGACTATTATGTTTATCCTATACTATTGAATATCAAATATTAATACAAATCCAATTATATTTTTAATTTAAAAAACATCATCCGTGCGAAAGCACGTGCCATCCTCTAGTTACCATTTAAGGTTCATAAACCCCATAGCTTCTGTTATTTTGTTATTTCTTTTAAGTGACGAAAATGTAGGAACCATTGGTTGATCTCCAAATAAATATAAAATATCTTGTATTATTTTATATTTTAATAATATATTCTTTGGCATATCAATATATTAGAAGTTAGAATATTGGTAGTGAATAGTGATGGTAACGATGATGTTGTTAGGAAAGCAATGTTTAGCATAATTTTTCCTTTTTAGTATAGTTCTTGATTATTTAAAGATTGTGGATTAAAAAGAAGCTGAATCAAAGATCAAAGAGTTTTATTACAAGAAAACTTCTTTTCAATTCTACCCATTGACTTTCTACCCAAAAAGAAAAAACTACTCTTTGAAAGAAGGTTTAAATACGCTGAATTGATCATGGTCCATGAAGTCTACGGTTTCGACCACGATGTAAGCAATGTAAATAATGTGAATAATGGATAGTAACAAATGTTAGAACAAGATGAACTGCTTCAATTTTTTGAAATATATATATATATATATATATATATATTCTCAGTTAATTATTTCTCATCAGTTTACCTTTTAATTTTAGGTTTTTTTTTCTCTCTATATGATCCTTTTTATTTTTCACCATACATAACACACATTTGTGCAAAAGGTAAACGCATGGAAAGAATATAATACTGATCTAAAAATGCATTCTCTAAACCATGATCATCAACTGTAAATTGCTCAGACTTCAGAATGTAGTAGACAAACAGAAACTGAAGATATAAAATCTGTCTTCGTCATTACGTCACAAACTCAGAAAAAAGACTAAGGGACTTTTGCTTCTTTGGAAGAGCCTCATGTTCTCTTCGAGATGGCTATCATATTGAAGTTGAGAGAGCCCGGATTCTTCTCAATCATCTTCTTTATCACATTCGTCGCATCCTACGTGTTTATCAAACATATGCAAGTATTACCAGTTTGTCTATAAGAATACCATTGTACGTTTCGAATATTCTTTCAACAACTTCAGGTATATCTAAGCTTTGAGCATAAAGAGTTTATAGTACCTTTAATAGGGTAGCTGGAGAGGAAGCACCGTGTGAAATTGGTCCTGCCTTTCTTCCATCAAGTTCATAGAGCTCACCTGCATTGTATGGTAATGAATAATAATGATACGAGGAGTGCCAATTTAGGAGTGAGTTTGATTTTAGTGGTTGATGTGAGAATTTGTTACCATCGACACAAGCTAAACAGATGAAATGCGTGTCCGCGTCATCAGAAGCCTGAAAATGGAGAATAGATTAAAACCAATGTAAAAAAAACCGAAATGAAAAAATTACAGACACATAAGCATCAAAGGGAGGTGAAAACTTACAGGTGTATCACCAGCTGAAACAGCTACAGAATGAGCATCTTCTATTTGACTGTCATTCTCAAGAAACTTTGCACGCTATTAAAATTTCCATAAACACATCAGACACAAAACAAAACAATCAGAATTGTTAAAAAGATAGAGAGAAGATAGCAACGCACCTCCATAGGAGTCATGTCGGCAGTGGATTTGAAGAATTTATCCAGGAATGATCCCTCGGCTAGAAAAGCAAGGAGAAAGTTATGGATTTGTATCCTTCGATTAAAGAAGAAGCACATATAGAGTCTGAAAAACTCACAGAGTTTGATTTCAGAGGTTATATTCCCAATAGCGTGAAGAAGGCCAATGGTTCCACAAGCATTACCCACAGTTTGTTTCATGAAGTAAACTTTATCACTATGCGCCTATCAATTCATCAACACAGAACCACAATGAGAGAACTAGATCACAGAAACAAATCAGATGTTGATCAGAAACTCACCTTTTCCTTGATTTCCTTGTCTTGCTCGATTCTCTCTTCTTCACTCTATAGAACACAAGGTTTAAAATTCAATCAATACAAGCAGAAATTATACAGAATCAAAGATGGATTTAAAAAATTGATGATTTGCAAATAGAGAGACCTTTTTGGTGATGGGGTAGAGGAAGAGAACAGCAAGAACAGGCTTTGGAACCATCTCAAGAAGTTCATCGTCTAAGCCAAACACATCATTGCACTCTGCTTCATCTGGGACAAGACCAAGTCCCCATAGAAACTGTACAGAACCGATATGATGAGAATCACTAAAATAACCTAGATTCTTCTTGAATTTTTGAAATTCCGGTGATCGGAGGAGTAATATGCGGAACTAGAAGGGAAAAATTTGAAACTAATAGGAGAGTGAAACAATACCTGATTCATAACATCTGGGTTAGCTTCAAGTGGAAGCCATCTCTTAGCTGAAGAACCCTCGCCTGCGGTCGCCATCTTCGGATCTTTCTCGTCACTTTCGATCGATTTTTTGCTGAAGAAATCAATATATCTGTCTATAAGTAAACACTTCGCCTCCAAGATACGAATCTGGAATACCTGAACAATGAATCAAGCCCATTTAGATCTACTAACGGGCCTAGCCTATTTTGTATTGTCCTATAATACAGTCGAGACATTTGATTTTTTTTACATGATTGGTGATTTGGTTCCAATTTTCAACTTTCTATGTCTTGTTGCGTGAGTTATCTGTGATTATCAACTGTGTTATTATTACCCATGGAAATACAATATATGAATCTAAAGGCAGTATGATTCGATTGTATGTTCTATTGATCTACTCTAAACCATTATTCAGAAACAAGAAAAGAAGATTCAAAATGTACAAAAAGAGAATCGAAGTAAGTCATCTACTCAGAAACAACTTAGGACGTACGAGCGTTGCATCTTGAGAAGAGTCTCTCAGGCTTTCTTAGAGATGGCTATCACATTGAAGTTGAGAGAATCCGGATTCTTCTCTATTATCTTCTTTATCACTTTCGCTGCGTCCTGCGAGTATAATATCAAAAGGTATTTAAGTATATACCCGTACAGTCTAATACACAACCATTGCATTTCCTGGATCCTCCAAGACTTGCTAATTCTAAGCTTAAAGAGTAAAGGGTTTACAGTACCTGCAACAAGGTAGCTGGAGAGGAAGCACCATGTGAAACTGGTCCTGCCCTATCTCCATCAAGTTCATAAAGCTCACCTGCATTATATGGTAACAGAGAGTCACAGTTTGTGTCAATTTGGAAGTGAATTTGATTTCAGTATTTTCATTTTGGTATTGATAGAAAAAAGTGTTACCATCTATACAAGCTAAACAAATGAAATGCGTGTCCACGTCATCTGGAGCCTGAAGATGGAGAAAAGTAAAAAAAACCAATGTAAGATCTAAATGAACAAGTTGCAAATAAATTAGCATCAATGGGGGAGGTGAGAAGTTACCGGTGTATCACCAGCTGTAACTGCTACAGAATGAGCATCTTCTATTTGACTGTCATTCTCAAGAAACCTTGCACGCTTTCAGAGTTTCCATAGAGAAATTAGACTTGAAGCAAACACTCTAAGAAAGATCAAAAATAGATGATAAAGACAAGATAGAGAAGCACCTCTATAGGAGTCATATTGGCAGTGGATTTGAAGAATCTATCCAAGAAGGATCCCTCAGCTAAAAGAGAAAGAGTGATAATCGATAAGGACTCATATCCTTAGATTAAAGATGAAGCACATAGAAAGCCTGAATATATAACTCACAGAGTTTGATTTCGGAGGTAATGTTCCCAATAGCATGAAGAAGCCCAATGGTTCCACAAGCATTATCCACAGTTTGTTTCATGAAGTAGACTTTGTCACTATGCACCTATCATACATCCACACAAACCATGAACGAAACTTAACAACAGAGACAAGGGTTCCTTTTTTTTTTTTGAGACAGATCAGATTAAAAAAACCTCACCTTTTCCCTGATTTCTTTGTCTTGCTGGATTCTCTCTTCTTCACACTACAGAGCAAAAATGATGGGTTTTTCAATCAATACAAGCAGAAATGATAAGAATCATAAAATGATGGATTATTACAAAGAAGATACCTTTTTGGTGATGGGGTAAAGAAGGAGAACAGCAAGAACAGGCTTTGGAACCATCTCAAGAAGTTCGTCGTCTAAGCCAAACACATCATTGCACTCTGCTTCATCTGGGGCAAGACCAAGTCCCCAAAGATACTGTACAGACAATACGAACAATCACTTGAGAAAAAAAACCCTACTAATCTGAAACTACTTTTTCCGGTGATCGGAGACGAGAATCGACGAATACTTATAGGACTCAGAAGGGGGAAGCAGCAATACCTGATTCATAACATCTGGATTCGCTTCAAGTGGAAGCCATTTCTTAGATGAATAACCTTCGTCTACGTTCGCCATTTACACACTTTGCTCGTCACTGAAATCAAAATCTAAGAGCAATTCTTCGGCACCAAGAATACGAATCCCTCCTCTCAACATCCGAGAATGATGATGCCCAACTGTACTAAAGCCCATCTCGTCAAATTTAACAAGCGGTACGCAAAACGATGTTGGGCCAATATGTATTCCTACCTCAATGTTTTAAAAACCAAAATATTACAATTCTAGTTTTAAATTCATCACTAAATATTTTTTTTCATCACTAAATAATTTAAAATAATAATTTTAGCAAGTTTGAGATTTTTTTTTCTGAAATGAAGACTTTTTTTTTTTGGCAAGGTCTCAATTTATAGGCTAGGCTATTCACTTTGTATAAACCTTTCATTTTAATTAATGATTTTTCCATTCATATAAATGTGCAAAAGAACCTTTCAAGTCGCTAATTTTTTTGCAATTTTATCATTCATCTCTAAAAATGCAGATTAATCACATAAAGTAAAAAAGAGTATGTATTATAATTCTTATATATATCTTTAAAATGTTTATACGTTCATATAATTTAGATTTTCAAAAATTTAATATGTAGATGTGGTCTCCTCATCTTAAAGTTTTGATTTATCATATTATTTATCTATAATTTTATAAATTTGACATTGCTGACAACTAGTTATATTGCTTTTTAATTTTTACCATGTAAATGTTGTTTTGTATTTTTGTGAGTTGGAGAGTAATATTGCTATTGAAAATGACGACTTAGAGAGTTTTTTTGCACAACAAAAATTATAAAAATGAAATTTACTATTATTTTTTTAAAAAAAGAAGAGAGATTGAGTCTGTTTAGTTGATTTTATTTGGACCTGACCCAGAAATAGCTCATTAATAGAACAGACTATAAGTGACGGAAATAAAAAATTATGTTTTTTATACTTAGTTTGATGCTATAGAGTATAGACATTAACTAATTGAGTCTGACCCATAAATAATCAATAAACTAACCCAGAGAAGCGTCTGTCGTCCGATATGAAAAAGTTTAAAGATTAGGTTTGTAAAAGGTTTCACACTTTCATTTTTATGTATGATATTTACATTCATATAAATGTGTAAAAACTCTTTCAAAGTCGCTATTTTTTTTAGCTTTATCATTCATCTTAAAAATGCAGATTAATCATATAAAATAAAAAACAATATAATATAATTCTTATATATATCTTTAAAACATTTGTACGTTCATATAATTTAGATTTTTAAAAATTTAATATGTAGATTTGGTCTCTTCATCTTGAAGTTTTGATTTATCATATTATTTATCTATAATTATATAAATTTGACGTTATTGACAACTAGTTATATCGCTTTTTAACTTTTACCATGTAAAGGTTGTTTTGTATTTTTTTTTGAGTTGGAGAGTAATATTGCTATTGAAAATGGCGAGTTAGAGAGTTTTTTTTTTTTTTTTTGCACAAAACATGAAAAATATCAAAATAAAATTTACAATTATATTAAAAAAAAAACAGAGAGATTGAGTTCTGATTTTATTTGGGCCCGGCCCAGAAATAGCTGGAACAGGCTAAAAGTGACAAATAAAAGATTAGGTTTTTCTCCTAGGGTTTTGTAATTTTTTTCATTCGCAGCTTTCTTCTCTCTAACTCTTTTTTCTTGTCACACTTACTTTGTTGGCGTCTAAACAACGCTGTCTGAATCATTCCTTCGATTCTGATTCTGATTTTTCTTCATGGATTCGTATAGGCAATAAGGTTTTTCCATCTTCAACCACAAAAAACCTTCAAACCTAATCTCCAGACTACTTGCTATTTCAATTCAATCGGACCGGGCAAAAGATGGCGACTTTGAACCCTTTCGATCTCTTGGACGATGACGCAGAGGACCCTAGCCAAATCGTTGCGGCTAAGCCATTGAAGGTTGAGAAAGCTGCTCCCGTTCAGCCTGCTAAGTCTGGTAAGATGCCGACTAAGCCGCTTCCTCCTTCTCAAGCTGGTAAGTTTTATCTTTGATTCGATTTTCCTCAAGTTTTATATTAGATTTAGAGTGTAACAGATTAATATTTAGTTTGATGTGCTGCTCAGTCGTTGATTTAGTTTGTAAGTCAACTTGTTATTTGGTGTGGTGATGATATGAGAATCTTCTTTTGTTGTGTCCGGGTAATAGTACTCGTTGTTTGAACTACTATGTCATGATTTTCTTATTCAGATTAGGCTGACTTAGTTTGGTAGTTGTAGAGATATGTATTTACTTTACCATTTTTATGGAAATGTTGACACTTGAATTGTTGCCTATATTGTTAATTAATCAAATGTTACATATCTTTTGATTTGAGTAGTGAGGGAGGCCAGGAACGGTCCTGCTGGAGGTCGTGGTGGGGGACGTGGAGGTGGTTATGGTCGTGGCAGAGGTGGTGGATTAAACAGGGATTCAAGGAATGCTGATGCTCCTGCCAATGAAAACGGATATGGTGGAAGCTACAGACGCTCAGAAGAAGGAGATGGAGCAAGACGTGGTGGGCCTGTTGGTGGATACCGTGGTGATCGCGAGGGTCGCCGTGGAGGCTTTAACAATGGTGATTCCGCTGGCTTTGAACGCCCACGTAGGAACTTTGAGCGTCACAGTGGAACTGGTCATGGGTAAGTAATCATCTTAATTGCTAGTCTTGTACTGATGTGATTCCTATTGTTTGTAATTGTTGTCTTATCCTTGAGTAGATGTGAGTTTAAACGTGATGGTGCTGGCCGTGGCAACTGGGGAACTGCTGAAGATGATATTGCTCCGTAAGTTTCTTTTCCAGTTAGGTTTATCTTTGTAGATTTGTTTTCTGTTATCTCTGTGTTTGAAAATCAAATGCGTGTTCTTCATATCTCTAGGGTGACTGACGAATCTGCAGCTGTGGATGAAAAGAATTTGACTGTTGAGAAGCAAGGTGGTGAAGGTGAAGCAACTGATGCAAACAAAGAGATATCTGCTGAGGAGCAAGCAGAGAAAGAGCCTGAGGACAAGGTACAGTTATCATCTCTTGAACTCGTATCTGTTTATATTAACAGCTTGAAAAGAATGTTTGGTTATCTGATGCAATATTCCTGTTTGTAGGAGATGACTTTGGAAGAGTATGAGAAAGTTTTGGAGGAGAAGAAGAAAGCTCTGCAGGCAACCAAGGTTGAGGAGAGGAAGGTTGACACAAAAGCGTTTGAGGCCATGCAACAGCTTGCAAACAAAAAGAGCAACAACGATGAAGTCTTCATCAAATTAGTAAGTACCTTGATGATTCTTTTCCACTTTTAATATATCATACTAGTGTCAGTAATCTACATTAGTCTTTGGTTATCTAACCCTGAAATGGTATTATCAGGGGACAGAGAAGGACAAGCGCATTACTGAGAGAGAAGAGAAGACCAAGAAGGTTACTAGTTTACTAATGTTTTCCTCAATTAATTAGTTACTACTAAAAAGAGACGCATTAAGCATTTCTTTCTCATTGATTTTACGTTTTTGTATTGTAGTCTTTGAGCATAAATGAGTTTCTGAAACCTGCCAATGGAGAGAGGAACAGAGGTGGTTACCGTGGTGGAAAGGGAGGACGTGAACAAAGAGGAGAAGGAGGGAACCAGAGAGGTGGAAACCAGAGAGGAGGACGAGGTGGACCAAGAGGAGGAAACCAGAGTTACAAAGAACCTGCTGCACCGGCCATTGAGGACAAAGCACAGTTCCCTACTTTGGGTAAGTAAGGCTCTCTGGTCCTTTCGCTTTCAGGTCTCGTTGTCCCTGTAATCTCTCCACTCCGCTTGGATTTTGTTTTTCTGATTTCATTGTTGTTGATACTCTTCCCTTGAGAAAGCTGAAGGATTTTTGTTTTACTACAGTTAAATGTGTCTCCTGTTTTCAAGTTAGCAAAATCCAACCAGTCCCCCACAGTTTTTTATTTTATTTAACACAGTTTGGCTTCTTTTTGGTCTATAATATAAGCATGAAGAAACTTTACTAAAGAAGTTTATTGTTCCAAGTACATTACAAAGAATTTCAAAGCTTTTGAACATACGTGAAGATAAGAAAACCAAATACAAAAGATTAAGAAGAGCAACGGCGTTCAGATGTCTTACATGCAAACGAATGATATAATATATGTTAACTGTTACCAATGCGAATCAAGAGGAGCAGCAGCCAGATTGCTGGTTCACAGGTTGTCCTCGGATCTGGACAGTTGGCGGCTTGGATCCTCCTGCAGGTTGGCTCGCCATTCTGCAAGACAAAACCGGGTTAAAGCTGGTTATAACAATTGTAACCAGTGCATGAGCTTTCAATGATTTACCTCGTTTTGATTGCAGCAGTCATGGCCATGAAAGCTTCTTCGACATTGGTAGCATTCTTGGCACTTGTTTCCAAGAATGGGATTCCAAGTTCATCTGCGAAAGCCTGTGTTGGCCGAACAAACAATTCAGCAAATCTATAAGACAAGCGTGAAAAAAAACCTTAACTGTAGATATTATGATATTACCTTGGCTGTCTCAGTAGATACAACTTTCTGTGATGTGAGATCGCACTTGTTCCCAACCAGTAGCTTGTTAACATTCTCACTAGCATAGCGATCAATTTCGTTTAGCCATTGCTTGACGTTGTTGAAGCTTTCTTGATCTGTTACATCATAAGTCACCTGCCAAGAAATGAAAACAACAGTTCAGTCTAATTGATGGTTGTCAGATATCATGGAGATATAATACTGTAAGTATGGTAATGGACTTACAATTATTCCATGAGCTCCTCTGTAGTAACTGCTGGTGATAGTTCTGAAACGTTCTTGGCCTGCTGTATCCCACTGCATAAATGAAGATAGTAATAAGGAGAGCTTGATCATATGCCCATACAAAAAAATCAAGTGGTTGCGAGACTGACACTAATCAAGAAGACAACTTACAATCTGGAGTTTGATAGTCTTTCCATCTTGTTCGACTGTGCGGATTTTCTGAAATAGCATCATTACAAAATTATAATCTTCATGATTCACGCATGACAGATAGATAAGGGTAAGATATTTACAAAGTCAACACCAATGGTACTGATGTAGCTATCCAGGTAAGAATCATCCTGCACATACAAAAAAAAATATGACAACCACTTCAGAAGACCAACAATGGCACTTGATGATTGCAATGGCTCATGCGAAGCATGTATTAATTGTCTAGCATCTGATCCTCAAAAGCTCAAAATTTTTTTGTGGCAACAACAGAGAAAGAGAGAGACTGAGAGAGAGATATGACTTACAGCAAACCTTAGAAGCAAGCATGACTTTCCAACACCAGAATCACCAATAAGCAAAAGCTTGAACAAATAGTCACTGCAGATCAAAAAGAATAGAAAGAAGCATAAGACACATGTCGATAACAAGCATTTTGGATAATTTCTCCAGCTATAAATAAATGTACATTTTTCAAAACACGCATCTTCTAAAACATTGAGAAAGAAGCTCATAGAATTTCTAGACGTCACTCTCGATTCACAGTAATCACGAAATTCAAATTGCAATCGAGTATGAATTTCACACTAAGAGAATCATTGGTGAATTCAAAATCAAGATACACAACAGATCTCAACCAATTCCATATCTAGATCTAATCAAATTTTCGATCCAACGAAACGAGACTCCAAATCGATCAATCAGAACAAGAAAGCCATCAATCATCAACGAAAACAAAAATTGCTAAGATCAATTTCTGCTAAAAAAAGTGAGCGAAACAAAATCGAAAGAGAAAGTAAATTACATAGCACGCAATAAAATTCAAAGACCACTAAGCTAATTCGATCTGAAGGAAAAAAGAAGAAGAAGGTTCTTACTATTCAGGATTCATGGTTGATCTCGTAGCTGGATCGATCTACCGGAAGAAAAAATCAAGACGAGAGATTCCACCGATTAAAACAGAGAAGAAGGGCCGTGATCTTCGTCGGTGAGGAGAGACTGAGAAAGAGAGAGAGAGAGACGTAGAACGATCGTTTTGTGCCGACGACGTGGTTAAGAAATGAGAAAGGGCCACACACCTCAACATGTTTAAATGCGTCCCATTTTGTTGAATTGCTGACGTGTCCACGCCAACCCAGAAGTTGCGTGGTGTAGAAAGTTTCAATTCTTTTTCTTTTATTACTCTCGTTACTTTTTTCGATCCCATGCGATACGAAACAAAAAAAAAAAAAAATATTAAAAGACAGACACTAATAATTCGAATCTAATTTGCTTTTGTTGTCTATCTGGATTTTGGTTTCCTTTTTCGAATTTTACGGTTAATATTACAAAATATGATATCGGGTTCTTTCATCGATTTTATTTCAGTTCGGTTCGGTACGGTTTACTATGTAGATAATACATGGGCCTAACTTATCATTTAAGGCCCATTATTCATTTTCTCATCGACCATGGAGAAGAAGTTGGCTTTACCTTGAGAAAAACGCCGAATCATCTCCTCTCTCATTTCTGAGTCTATCTCTCTCTTTTTTATCAAATCAACAGTTCGGTAACTATGGCAATGGAAAACAGGCGGGAAATCAAATCCATGGAAGATTCCTAGTTTTTTTTCTGGAACTCCCGTTATCGTATCTTTAGCTTACCGAGAGACTGAAAGAAATGGAGGAAAATGGCAGAGGCGGCGGCGGAAGTATCAGTAACAATGGTGTGGTGGTGAAGAAGGAAGGGTTAGGGTTTTCTAATAGGGGAATAAAAATTGAGAATCCTTTTGCTTTCAAAGCTCTTCAAGTCTTCACCGGATTTGGCGTTGGCTGTGGAGTTGGTATCGGTAGTGGAGCACCTTTAAATCTCGGTATATACGCTCTTTCCTTTTTTGCTACGTTTCTGATATGTGAGAAGACCTTTAATGGCGATTAGGGTATAGTGTAATTAAACAATCAGGTCAAAAGGAATTTTGATTTGATTCTTAGTGTATTGAGGACTGATGGTTATGGTCTGTTCAGTTCGTTTTATGTTCATTTTGTGCTTCATCTGTCTATAATAGGAGAAGAAAGATTATTTTCTTTGTTGAAGACTATGTTATAATCAGATAGTCTCTGGAATGAGAGCAGTATTACGCTGTCATTCATAGTCGGAAACCGTGTGTCTAATTGGTTTGGCTCCCACAGCATCTTGGTTGTGAGGTTACTAATCCGGTATTGATGTTGTTATGATTTACATATTAGGTAGTATTCCAATGGTGGGGGAAGTTATGAGTTCATCTAGAGGAGCAACCAATGTATTTTCAGGGGCCACGCACCACGTGAATAGCGCTGTACAGTATAGACAAACTTGTCTTTTCTCGATTTACTCGTGCTATTTTTTTTATCTTCCTGCTTTATGCTCTTCTAAATCTGGTTGTGAACTTGCGCTACCTTTAGTTGAGGAAGCTGGGAGCTAGGAACATTGTAGCAGGTGTTGGCTGTGGAGTTGGCTTTGGTCATGGTTTTGGAGTTGGTATGTTTACCGTATCTAAGTACAACTTTTTTGTTTCTTCCTTTTTTTCCAAAATGCTCTCAGTTTTGATACATGAGCTTCTAGTTGTTTACTTTTTGAATGGTTGACCCTTTCTGAGTTACTTGATTGTTGGTTATGTAAGCATCCCTTGAACTGCTTGTTTGAATTGTTTGCTCTCTAATTGTCATTAACTTTTATCCATCATTGACAGGCATCGCAGTGAAACCCAGTGCCATACACAAACTTCAAGCTTCTATTATGGTAAGTACCAGTCTTTCGAAGAGTCTCCTTAATAATCATCCACATGAAACCATGAGTATGAATCTCCTTAGGAAACTGCATCCAACTTAATGACTAAACTTGGAAGAACGAGTGAAACCATCTCAAGTCAAACTGAGAATGAAGACCAGGTGTCTCGATCTGTAACTGGTCATAAGAAACATGTGGACACAGAAACTTCTTACAAGAAAAATGCCACCTCTACTGATTCAAGAACGTTTGGTACTCGAACTGAGAAAGTGATCAACAGTTTTCTGGACAATCCGATTCTGAAACAGCAGGACACAACTGCAGAAGAACGACAGGTAACGATTATATCACAGAATGTTTCCCCCTCTCTGCTTTGATCCGGGAAAGCCGTCTTTTGAACTTCCTTTTGTTTCCTGACATTGATAGGTCACACAACTAGAATCAGAGAGCTTAATGCTTCAAATGGTATCGTCTCATTATTTACAAGTTCCTTTCTTTTCTTTAAAAACAATTTATAAGGGTCCATGGTTATGATCAAACGAAATTGATTGTGTAGGTGCTGAAACATCAGAAACTCATTGATGAAGTAATGGAAGAGAACGAAAAGCTTCGAAGGATAATCATTGAAGATCTCAAAGTTTCTCCCGAAAAACTCAAATTAGTTTCCTCTTACAATTACGAAACACCACCATGCAAAGATTGCTTTGAGTGTCGTAGAAAACAGAGAAGAAATAGAGGAAGAAAGCTGTAAGCCAATTTCTTCATTTGTTATGAGAAAAAAAAATTTCACAATATCAGACAAAACACAGAATACAAAGAACTGAAAGTTCCTCTGAAACTCATAGTTATATAACAGAACAAAACTCTTGCGCAAACAATGGAATCTGTTAACACTGACTCTCCCGCAGCTCTGTTCTCCATCATCTTCTCTCGTTTAACAGTGGTTCAGACGCAGGAACTGCAAAACAAACAAAGAGAAATTTGTGGATCAATGTTTCTGCAATTAGGTTCACCTGATTAGTAACACAAAACTTAAAAAAGAGATTTGGTAATTACCTTCATCAACATATCCAAGTTTCTCTCTAATTTCAGTAATAACCAGACGGGTCAAAAGCAAGCCAGCACAAAGAGCTCCAACAACTAACATATAGAACACAGCTTGCCAACCCAAAGTCGAAAGAAACCCAGTCAAAAGTGGACCCAAAGCTGCACCAGCAGATCCAGTCCCATCAATAATCGCAGTCACAGTAGCAAGCGCCCTGGAATCACCTTGTAAAGACTTGTGTGTTCCAAGGTCCGCTGAGACTGCGGTTGTGATGAGTGCATAAGGACCGTTGACAAACAAACCAGCCACCATCATGAGGACGATGTTGACTGTCTGAGAGACACCTCCATAGGAATGGTACACAAGCATTGCTGGAATCGCAGCGTACATGAATGCTGCTGCAGTCGTAGCTCTTGCTTTAAATTTGTCTGAAATGTAACCACAAAGAATCCCTCCCACAATGCCTCCAACATCAAATAATGTGGAGAGATTTCCTGCTGTTTTTACAGACACGTACTCTCCACCAATAGCTGCAAATAAGAGCAAGTAAGATACATTGTCTAAAACTCATTTTTTTAACGGAAATTAGACAATCAAAACTTACTTGTTTGGCTCAGATAAAATGGCAACCAGTACAAGAACGTGTAGGCGACCAACTTCGAGAAGAAGAGACACAACGCAAACGGTATAACACCAGGAATCATACAAGCTTGCAAAAGCCCAACACTTCTTTTGTTCTCATACCCTGACCCTGACCCTGATGATCCCTCACCGTCGCCTTCAACATCTTCCCCTAAACCTTCTTCTATTTCTTCTTCTTCTTCAACACTTCGCTTCCTCTTAATGAACTTACCAGAATTAGAATTGATATCCGGAAAGCCAACATCCTCAGGGTACGCAGCCAAGAACAAGTAAACAAGAACTCCTCCTAAAGACATCACAAACCCAGGAGCAATAAAAGACCATCCCCAACCATATTCAAGAACACCAGCAGCAATCAAAGAACCACAAATGTTCCCAACAGAAGTATGAGCATTCCAAATCCCCATTATAAGCCCTCTCTTCCTTTTCCCAAACCAATTCCCAACCACAGCCACAACAGATGGCCATCCTGTCGCCTGAAACAACCCAGCCGCCATTTGCAGAACCAAAAAGAACCAAAACGCATGAATGTTCCAGAAATAACCCATACCAAACAAGCCAACAAAAAACCCACTCCCAATCATTCCCCAAGTCAGAAACAACCTCAGATCCAAACTATCACCCAAATGCCCAGCAACGTACATTCCTATAGAGTAACAAGCAAGAAACGCCACATCAATCTCCCCCAACCTAGACGTCCCATCCTTCCCATTAAACGGTGCCCATCCTTTATCAGACTTACGATGCAACAGAACCTCGTCTACACCAATCTCTCTCTTCACAAACACGTTGCCCACAGGCCATGGGAACTTGTTGTGCTCTTGGGGTGGCTTACTGCTCGAGTCCGGGTGTAAAACGCTCTTCACTATGCTGCTTGGTTTACGAGAAGCATGGTAACAAGCATACGCGATGAACGTAACCAACAAAATCACGTACCGAAACGTCTTCGGACTCCAATTTCTTCCTCTGACTCTCCTCAGAAGCAAAAGCCCAGGTGGCGTTTTCCTCTTCGAATTCATCGCCATCGTTCACAACAAAACTCTCCCACAACAACCAACACAAAATTTTCAAATGATAAGCAAAGAATGAACTTTTGACGGATCAAAATCAAATACCCAAATCCATCGATTCGCCGTGTTTGGGGAATCAGAATCACCAATTTAATTTGATTGAGAGAGAAGAGACCAGAGGGAGAGAGAGGTTGGCGGGAGGGAAGGAGAGAGAGAGAGAGATAGATAGAGGGAATCATACAACACGACGGAAACTATCTAAATGTGACACGTGTCCGCATATTTACGGTAGAGCCAAAAGGCAGAACAACAGTTGTCACGACACGTTGACCACTTTGGAACGCATGAAGCGACGGCGCGTGACCGACGTGGTGTGGTGGGCCAAAATTATAGGTTCACGTAAGCATCATCATTTAGCCCTTGCAGGGTCAATCCCATAGAATATAGCAGCAGCCGCTTCTCGATTGATATTTTTATATGATCATAGTACTACTATATACTATTTATATAATATTGATATTCTTAAAGGCCCACTATAAAGGCCCATAAAGAACACTCACACGTGCGATGACGCGTGCCAAGCAAAAGGAGATAAGGCTCTGTTTTTTTACTAGCTTCCCTCCTTTTCTCCAAGTGAGAAATACACACAGCTATGGCGACGAGCTTTCATCGTCTTCCTCAGGTATGTTATACGAAGCTTGTGTAATTTGTACTTGTATTCGGCATTTTTACTTAGTCTGGATCAACTCTATTTTAATGGGATTCAGGCGTTGCATATATTACCGAGGAACCTTACGCAATCATCGAAGAATTTAGGGTTTTCTTCGTTTCTGTCATGCGCACCATCGAGGGATTCTCGTGTATCAGTTTCTAGGCTTTCTCTGAATCATTCCGGTTCGAAATTTGGGTTTTCACTTGATACTAGGGTGAGAAAGGAGTTTATCGTTAGAGCAGAAGATAACGCTGAAGCTGAATCTGAACAAGCTGTTGGTGAAATTGCTGATACGGAAGGTAATGTAGACGAAGTTGTCGAATCTGGTGAAGCTAAAGCAACGAGAAAACCAAGGATCAAGCTCGGAGACGTAATGGGGGTAAGTGAACTTTTCTTTTTGTTATCAGTAACTCAAATTATGAGTGTTAACTAATCTAACAACAAGGAATCAGTAAGTGTCACATTGATGGCAATTGATATATGTCAGAAGAGGATTGGGTGAAAATAGTGTTATGTGTTGAGTTGAGGGACTTGCTATCTCGATTTGTAGTTTACCTTACATGAATTGGGAAGATTCAGTTTCATTATCTGTTGTTTATGTAGATACTGAACAAGAAAGCTATTGAGGTTTCAGAGAAAGTGAGACCTGTTCCAGAAATCAGGACGGGAGATATTGTAGAAATCAAATTGGTAAGCTGTTGATGTTTTCGAAGTCTCTATGCTATGCACTGAATCGATATTTTATTTATTTTTATTGGTGGGATATGGTGTTTCACTTTGCAGGAAGTTCCTGAGAACAGACGTAGGCTATCTATCTACAAAGGTATAGTGATGTCGAGACAAAACGCTGGCATACACACTACCATTCGTATTCGGAGAATCATAGCGGGTATTGGTGTTGAAATCGTGTTTCCCATGTGAGTTTTTTTTTTCCTCTCCAGTTACCATTTGGTATAACCTACTTTGATTGTGAGTTTTTGCACATGTTCAGAGCCTTACGTTGACTCATGAATTTTTAATAAATTCATGTTTATACATAGATACTGAGTTATACTTTGTATTTCCCTGAATAATAAACTAGAATCCGTGCAGAGGTTTACGTTAACGAGTCTTTAGTTGCTTTCTACCTTCGCAGTTATGGCAATCTAAGTCTTTAAGGCAACTATCACGTCTGCTCATGTTTCCTATCTTACATTCTACTGTATAAAATAGTAAAATACTAGTCTCTAGAAACTTCCTGTAATACTATATCGGTTTTTTGTTTACACTTTACAATGTGGGAATTTAGAAAAGTGTATGGTATGTGCTGATGCTCCTAATCGTTTGTTTGATTTGACAGATACTCTCCCAACATCAAAGAGATAAAAGTGGTGAGTCACAGAAAAGTGAGAAGAGCAAGGCTTTACTATCTGAGGGACAAGCTTCCTCGTCTGTCCACTTTCAAGTGAACACCATCCTCTGCCACTTTCAAGTGCTCTGAAAGGATTGTTTGTTTCTTTTCTTAAGCCTGTAAGTCAGTCGTTGTCTGTGCACTCTTGTGGGAAAGTAAATCAAAGATTAGTTTAACTTGGTAAGAAATGTAGACTTGGTCCTTATTTGATAACTAGTCTTTTAAATTTCGGTGTCGCGGATCTCATCGATGATCTTGGGAAATCTCAAAAAAGTCGTCGGACGGAAGAAAGAAGGTCGTTACAGGTTTCTTTAAAAATAAAATAAATATGTTTTTCCATTTTTCACGTAACTATAATTTGATTTTGTTTTTACATAAGAAAAGGAAATTCACGAGAAAAGGAAAAAACAAAAAGGAAATATACTGTATTTCTCGCAAAATAATAATAAATTAATTAATAAAAGACGATAACAAAAATGGAAACAGTAAAAACTGTAAAAAAATAAATAGAAATACTTATAGAAAAAAGGAAATAGTGATAAAGAAAAGGAAAACTTAAAATGATGATATGGGCCTAAGTGTTTAAAGCCCATCACAAGTGTCAATAAACTAAGAGCTCTATATATACAGAGGTTGCGTTGATTGTGTAATTCTCAGTTTCTCACAATTTCAGTTCTTCTCCGAGCTCTCGTTTCTTTCTTTCTCTGCAAGATTTGGTTTTTCTTCAGGCAATTCCAAATCCCTCTTCTCTGTTTTTTCTTCATATTAGGGTTTCTGATTGTTTTGTTTCGACATATCAAAATCCCTCTTTTTCTTCTCTGTTTTGAGGAGATCTAAAGTTTTCAGGAAAAAAAAAACCCTTTTTGGATTCATCCTCGTGGAGGGTTTTTTCCAAAGACTTCGTATTTATGTTGTCTTTGGTTTTAGTTTTGTTTTAAACCCCAAAGGAAAAGGAGTAACACATTACATGGTTGTTGTGTATGTCCGGTTTCTAAGTTGGGGATATTGTCCGATGTTATGTTCGTAAGAAAAAAAAGACTTGTCATGTCCGAATAATATTGGGGATAAACTTTACAGTCTTGCTGTGCTGGGACAGCTTAACACAAACTTCAGTGTTGCGCTTGGACTATGTGTCCTGAGAAAGTTCTGCTGCCTTTATTAAGGTTTGGACTATGTGTCCTTAAAAACTTCGGTCTCTATTCCCTTTGTTAAGGTTTGGCCAGTGATGTCCTGGGAAATTTTCCGTTATTACGTCCGTAAGAGAAAAGGCTTGTCATGTCCGAATAATATTAGAGATAATGAATCTCTATTGTCTTGTTGTGCTCGAACAGCTTGACACAAACTTGAGTTGCGCTTGGACTATGTGTCCTGAGAATGTTCAATCTCTCTGCTGCCTTTATTAAGCCTTGGACTATGTGTCCTGACAAACTTCAGTCTCTACTGCCTTTGTTAAGACTTGGCCAGTGATGTCCTGGCAAAATAGTCCGTAAGAGAAAAAGGCTTGTCATGTCCGAATAATATTGGAGATAATGAATCTCTATTGTCTTGCTGTGCTGGGACAGCTTGACAGAAACTTGAGTTGCGCTTGGACTATGTGTCCTGAAAAAATTCAATCTATCTGCTGCCTTTATTAAGGCTTGGACTATGTGTCCTGAAAAACTTCAGTCTCTACTGCTTTTGTTAAGGCTTGGCCAGTGATGTCCTGGGAAAATAGTCCGTAAGAGAAAAGGCTTGTCATGTCCGAATAATATTGGAGATAATGAATCTTTATTGGTTGGCTGTGCTGGGACAGCTTGACAGAAACTTGAGTTGCGCTTGGACTATGTGTCATGAGAAAGTTCAATCTCTCTGCTGTCTTTGTTAAGGCTTGGACTATGAGTCCTAAAAATATTCAGTCGCTGCTGCCTTTGTTAAGGCTTGAACTATGATGTCCTAAGAAAATTAATTCTCTGCTGCCTTTATTAAGGCTGGGACAGTGATGTGCCTTGAGAAAATTTTCCGATATTACGTTCATCAGAAAAAGGCTTGTCATGTCCAAATAATATTGGGGATATTAATCAATCTCTACTATCTTGCTGTGCTGGGACAGCTTGTCACAAACTTCAGTTGCCTTTGTTAAGGCTTGGACTATGTGTCCTGCGAAAGTTAAATCTCTGCTGTCTTTATTAAGGCTTGGACTATGTGTTTTAAGAAAGTTGAGTCTCTGATGCCTTTATTAAGGCTTGGATAAGGTTTAATATTCTGGAATTTGGTGGTTAATATAAGTCCTTTAATAAGACTTGTTCGATGGGGGAAAGTCCGAATATATGATACATTGATGGAGCTGGGGCAGCAAGTTAACATCCAATGTTCTGATACAGAGAGAACTTCAAATCTCTGTTAAGATAAGCTTTCATTAAGGTTTGGACTATGATGTCCTGAGAAATTTAATTCTCTGCTTAAACTATACATCTCACTGAGATATGATATTCAATATTTGTGTGCCTTTATTAAGGTTTGGACTATGATGTCTAGAGAAAATTCATTTCACTGCTTAAACTGTAAATCTCATTGAGATATTGAATGGTCAACAAATTGTTGGAGAATAAAAATCCTTAAAATAAGGCTTGTTCAATGGCTTTTCAAGAAGGGAAAGCTTTACTCTCCGGTGAATATATATTTTGCTGGTGAAGCTGGGACAACAAGTTACATATACTGAGATTGGCCTTTCAAAAGGCTTGGACAATGAAGTCCTGAGAAAATTCAATTCTCTGCTTGAACTGTTTGATTCAATGTTTTGCAAATTGATGGAGAATGAAAGTTCTTCAATAAGGCTTCTTTAATGGCTTTTTAAGAAGGGAAAGCTCAATTGTATTGTTCGATTAAAAGATATCCTGCTGGATCTGGCGGGACATCAAGTTAACATTCAACATTCCGCTATAGAGAAAACTATAATCTCTGTTAATAACTAACAGCCTTTATTACGGCTTGAGAAACTCAGTTATAAAAGTCCAAAAAGCTCAGTTGTCCGTTTGAATATATATTTTTGCTGGAGCTGGGACAGCAAGTTAATAATCTCTACTGAGATCAGCCTATAAAGCTTGAACAATGATATCCTGAGATATTCAGTTATCTGCAAATTGATGGAGAATCAAAGTAATAAAAGATATTTTTCTGGAGTTGGGACAACATTATAACATTCACTGTTCTGCTATAGATAAAACTTCAATCTCTGCTAAGGTAAGCCTTCATTAAGGTTTGGACAATGATGACATGAAAATAAAATGTTCTGCTATAGAGAGAACTAAGAACTTCAATCTCTGCTAAGATTAGCCTTTTAAGAATTGAACAATGATATATGTCCGATTAAAAGATATCTTGCTGGAGCTTGTCTAGCATGCTTATACTCTGCTATAAAGAGAACTTCAATTCTGCTAAGGTAAGCCTTCGTTACGGTTTGGACAATGATGTGCTGAGAAGTTCATATCTTTGGTTAAAATTATACATCTCACTGAGATATGATAATCAGTATTTTGCAAACTCATGGAGAATAAAAGTCCTAATATTGGTGGCATCAATCTCTTTTGTCTTGCTGTGCTGGGACAGCTTGACAGAAACGTCAATATATGCTGCCTTTATAAAGGCTTGGACAATGATGTCCTGAGAAAATTCAATTCTCTGCATAAACAAAAATAATTCAATATTCTGCAAATTGACGGAGAGTAAAAGTCATTTAATAAGGCTTGTTTGATTGCTTTATAAGAACGAAAAGCTCAGTTTTCTAATGAATATGTTTTGCTGGAGTTGAACAGCAAGATTTAATGTTATACAAAAGAGAGAACTTTCAATCTCTGCTAAGATCAGGCTTAGGCTTGTACAAGGATGTATGTCCGATAAATATATATCTTGATAGAGCTAGGACAGCAAATTAACATTGAATATCCTGCTATAGAAAGAACTTCAATCTCTGCTAAGCTCAGCCTATAAAGCTTAAACATTTGATGATCCTAAGAAATTCAATTCTCTGGTTAAACTAAATCATTTCAATAGTCTGCAAATTTTATGGAGAATAAAAGTCCTCTAATAAGGCTTGTTTAATGGCATTTCTAAGATTGAAAAGCTCAAACAGTCCGATTACAAAATATTTTGTTGGAGCTGGGACAAATGTTAACATAAAAGATGGACAATGTTCTTGTGTAATGGCTTTCTAAGATTGGGAAGCTCAACTGTCTGATTAAAAGATGTTTTGCTGGAGCTGGGACAACATGATAAAATTCAATATTCTGCTATAAAAATAATAATGCAATATCTGCTAAGCTCAGCCTTTATCTTAAGGCTCGTCTCTCTTCTAGAGAACAAAAACACAGTTGTGTGCTTATACTCTAGCGTTATATGCACACTGATGGAGTCACTAATAAAGCTTTTCTAAAGTTGTTGCCTGCTTATTGTTGGCTAGGGAGAAATTTCAAGGATCTGCTTATAATTGAAAATTTTCAATGGTGTGCTTATAATGAAAATTTTTAATGGGCTTTATTAACCAGAGCCGGAATCCGGATTCGAAACAGTGTCTCTCAGATCTATTTGCTTCAAAATTGAATCTTACACAAGATACTTCATGACTTACTTTAGTCTTTACTGAGATCATACTCATCTTGACGAGGCATATCACTAGAGAAATCCCAAACATTGAGATAAACACCAGAAGAATAAGTGTAGACCTTGTGATCATTGGGTCACACATTAGGAACCAGCTACCGTAAGTCGCAAGACAAAGACTCTGTGCAAAGTCAACACCAAGATCTCGAGTCTTGTAAACTTTGTCTTTTATCACCTGGAACGAATAATACACAGCTATCGCTATTATTAGTTTCATTCCGTCGAGAGAAGAGTATCAGCCACGGTATCTGATTTCGTTTGGGTCTTGTGTTAATACATAAAGCCTCTACTTCTTTTATCTCTCTTTCAGTCTCAATCGTTCGAAAATACTACGTAACAAGTCCGGACAAAGCTCCGACCACTTGGAAATCACCGGAAGGCAATTATGCTTCTTCTCGCTTTGGTACATTCCTCAAAATTTCAAACTTGTTTGACACGCAAGATCTCCAAACTCCTAATTTGCATAAGACCTGGAAGATATATATATATATATATACCTTGAAACAATATCTTCAAAAGGGGAAAAGTAATAAAAATGGAAAAACTAGTCCTTTATACAAGTATATCCATTATACTAAGTATTTATAGTTGTATGCATAAACCTAAAAAGCAAGGGAATCAAGGTATTTTTGCAAAGATCTTTTCACACACAAAAAGAAGAAGAAAACAAAAGGAGATATTCTTTTCTAGTTTGGACGACTCTAGGTTTTTGCACTAATCTCAAAAAAACTAATACTGTACTTATTTACTCCATTTCTGCATTTGGGGAGGTTTACATGATATTACAGTATCTTTTCATCCTATACAAAGTAAAGAAGCAGCAGCAATTTAAAGTACAAGAAAAGGTACCAAACAAAAAAGGAACTTTCGAGTAAAAAGGGTTACTTAAAGAGAGATAGGAGAAGCAGAGGCTTTATGTATAAATGTATATATAAGACCCACCTTTATAGAACTTAACCACCAAAGAGAAGCCCAAGACTAAATAAAAACCTTTCTTTTTTATGTCTGCAAATTTCCAATTTCTATAGCAGAAACCTCATTTGGTTGTTTTTCTCAGAAAGCCTAAGAGTCTCTCTCATCATTCTCAATCAATCAGGAGAGCTTAATAATCCTTCCTTTAGCTCTGAGAAGCAGCACAATGAGTTCTGAAGCTTTTGACCTCTCACAGTTGGTGAAGCAGCTCTGCTTGAGGAAAGGACCCGTTTGATGGCAAGTCCAGAAGAAGGAGATCTTGATCGGAACTGCAATTACCTTCATAGCCAAACACTGCAGAGCCACCTTCTTGTGCAAACACAGAAGCCAAGCTTCTTGGGCTGAAGCATGGGACATTGTTCTCTGTCAAAACTTTTCTTTCATGGGTTGCTTTCATCTTCATCACCCTTTTGGGGCTCCTCATTAGCCCCCTTGACTCTGTGACCAAAACAAGAACATCAACAAACCACAAAGATTGATTGCAGAATCAACAAGACTTATTAAAAATGGTCCTTAAGACTAACCTGACTTTAATTGGGTTTGGTCTTCACAGCGCCTCTTAATGGTCACAATATTCTTAGGTACATTTAGATTTGAGCTTTTTTGTACAGTTGTAGTAACAGAATCTCCGGTCTCTTTTTCTCGTTCCTGCAGTCACATATCTGGTGAAGTTGTAGCCAGAAGTTATTATTATGTCAGTGTCTCAATAAGAGTAAGCCGAACCTTGAGGAGGTAATAGCTTTCCACCAAACGAGATTTGTTTAAATCAGTCAAAGCAAGCTTCTTAAAAGCCCTGGAGTCTTCGAGTTTTGCCCCAGAGGAAGAAGACATATCAAAGACACCATCAGCAATGAGCTGCTGAAGCAAAGAGAAGTTGTCCTTGAACTGAGCACTTTCGAACATCATCCTGAGGCTGCTAAGGCAAATTATGACAGGTTAGAAATTTTGATCGGTCTGGTTTCTTTGTTCATTAAAATACAATGTAGTTCGAACCTATCAGGAAGGTTATCAGAGTCAATCTGAGGAAGCAATTTCATCAGTTTCTTTTGTTCTTCCTCTGTGAATTGTTTTATGAACTCATCACAGTTGAAAACGTCCTGCAATAAGTTTTATTGTTTTAGGCATTGTCCCAGAGTCATTTCTTTTAGTTGACTTTCATACATTCAACTTATTAAACAGACTTGGTGAGAGTTTCTTGGAAATTACCTTCAAATCAATGCTACAAAGTGGTGAACTATGGCTCCCCAGGACATGTACTCTTTCAGTTTGAGACTTGGTTCTGCCAACAATTAGAAAGGATACAATTTTCATTTTGCTTGACTAAATTGCAGCTAATGTATAAAATATCTTGATGATAGATTAACTCATTAGGAATATTTTACCTCTTGAACTGTTCTTGCTTTATTGCTTGTCCACCATAGTATGAACCTCTCTCTGCTCCAATCTCAACACGCTTCACAGAATGTGAGTATGCCTCACTAATGGAAGACTTGTTCTCAATCGAAGAGAGCGAGCTGGCTTCAGACTCTTCTTCCCGAGCAAACGAGTGGGGATTCTTCATCAGAACACTCCCATGTCCAATCTCAACAGAGACCATCGACATTTCATTCTCAAAAAGAAGATCTTCCTCTGATGAAACTGAGAGACACGACGATTGCTGCTCTTGTAGAATATTGTAAAGGTCCTTTGTCAGCTTTTCAACAGAAGAGGACTTTGGACGGCCCACACACGTCCTCCTCTTGCAAGGAACAGTAGTGTCCCACGCATTAGATTGAGATGGACCTGGAAAAAACAAAGTTCACATGGACACTAAGGATTTGTTTTTTAAATCCCCGATTGATGCTCAAACCGAAGAAATAAAGTAAGTAATCAAACCTGTTAACTCACTCCCATCTGCACTGCTAAACTGTGCACAGCTCTCAGAGTTCGATACAGCCGAACCAGAACTTGATCTATTACTAGCATCCTCTTCTAACACAGCCTTCTTCAAACCATAATTGAATTCCAAGAGTGGTCTTTTAATGATGATGTTTTCGTCAAGTGCTTTCCTTTTCAGCATCTTTGTCTCTTTGTTCTTATTGCTGAAAGAAATGCTCTTCATTCTCTGAAACCTGTGATGATCATCATTCTCATCACCATCAGCACGAGCATGAAGGGGTGTATAGTTCACAAGTGTTCCCTTTGTTCTCCAACGCGATCCACAAGCATTGCACAATACCGGCTTCTCTGGTGGCCCATTTCGCCACAGAGGTGTGTCTGTTTCAATGAAACAAACAAAATGTCACAAATTTGAAATTGGAGCTTCGAAATCAAGACAACGTAAGAGTCCTTCATCAGACAACACTTGAAATGACACTTATACTGCAAATTCAAACTCCAAATCAACCAGAAGAACAATGATCTCAAATACCAAACATCATGAAGTCTTTTATTATACATCAACCAGAACAAAATTTAGTTCCTTTCTACAACACTAGAGAAATTATAAACAACAAAAAGCAGATCCCAAGATCATATCTTTGTTGCCTAATCCATTAGTTCCAATCATACTGAGAACAACAACACAAGAAACTCACAAAGAAAGACAAATTGTTGTTCTTAAGATCATTCAACAAAAACAAACCAAACAAATATTGTTAAAAGGAACACAATTTTCAAATGCTCATTCATAATCTTGACTCCAGGAAGTCTTTGCTGTATCACTTCAATGATCATTACAAGTTGTTACACAAAAAGCATATAAAAACATGTAAAACAAAAATCATTTTCCCAGAAAAAAAGGGCATCTCACCCAGAAAAACCAAAAAGTTGAACATTCATACTAATTTTTTTATCATCATCATCAAGCTGAAATAGGAGACACTCACTTGTAACTCCACAGTGGTAGCAAGGTCCTTGCTTTCCCATAATCTCTCTTTCTCTCTCTTTTGTTTTTACAAAAATGAAAATATATATTTTCAGAGCAAAGTTGCAATTTTAAGAAGAGCTTTTTGGTATTTTGGAAAGAAATTTAAGTTTATAAATTGTGTTTAATATTGAGCTATAATTGGAGTATACAAACCAGAGTATATTAACTATCTCTCTGCAAAGGAAAAAACAACCCAGAAAACAAAAAGTTGAATTTTTTTTCTTCTGCAAATTGAAGCCCAGAAAAAATCCTATGAGAAAATTCAAGAATTTTTTTTGTAAATAAAAAACTCCAAAAAAAAAAGTATATGTAAAATTGAGAAAGAAAAAAATCAAAAACAAGAAAGAGAACAAATTCAAGAAGATAATATTTGTTATCTCCTCTTTTTTGTGTTCTCTTTTGTTTTTTTTTGTTTTTTCGGGTTCCTTGAGCTATCAGTCTAATATACAATCCAATAGAAAAGAGAAGAGAAGAGAGACTAATTGAGAGAGAGGAGGAATCTAATAAATGGCTCTGTGAAAAAGGAGATGAGAGAGAAAAACTCTTTGAGGGTTTTAGAGCGAGAAACTGTTTTTGTGTCATTAAAAAAATAATAAAATGGTTTGTTCCTTTGCTTTGTTTTGCATTATTATTATTATCATGTAACGATGAAGTAATTGTTTCAGCTTCCTTTCAAAAAAAAAAAATTAAAAAAATTAAAATCTTCCTTTTCAATTTCATTTTAGAAAAACATAAATAAAAATATTGTTTCATCATATACAACGGCTTTTTTTGGTCGACATGAAATGGCTACTTTCATTTTTTCTTTCTGTTGTTTATAAAGTAAATGTTTGAGCTTCCCTTTTATCAAATTTGAGATTTTTTATATGTTTCTATGAACAGTTTCATACTTATTGGTTTAATTTTAAACAAGAGAAATGAGATCTATGAGATTTTAATATGTATGATGATGAGTGAAGGAAGGTTAATTATTAATTTTTTTTTGGGGTAGGAGGAAGGAATATTATTGCTTATAATGCCTTTACCCTTATGGTTCCTTCTTTTGTTTGTTGACTATAGACTTTTCTTTCTTGTTTGTTTTTCTATTGATATTTCCAATGAATATATAATAACGACAATTACATTATTAATGACTCTCATAAGAAAAAAGAAACAAAAAAAAATGAGAAAGAAAAACGCATTTGTAAGGTATATTTTATTTATCTAAAAGGTTTGAACAAAAGAATCATATATATCTAAGAAAAAGAAATAAGTATATGTAGATGTAGATATAAATATGTCTTTTAACCTTTTTTTTTTTTGTTTAGTTTACCTTCATTCTAAAACAGCTGTAAAATTGTCATATATGATATAAATGTATGCAAGAACAATAATGTATCGACAAATGTGAAAGTTAATTAACTTATTTTTTAGTCCAAAAAAAAAAAATTAACTTATTGTATTCGTATATAGCATAAACAAGAGTTAAATTTTCATGCCATTTTTTTTGTCAACGACTAGATTAAAGAGATTAGGTTGATATGATGCTGGTAAATATATATTATATATTTTTTAAGCTAAGTGGGATTTAATTTTATAATTAGTTTAATTTGTTCTAACGAGTTATAATTGATACATTTTTTTTGGGGTTGTCATAAAAAGAAAAACCAAAAAAAAGAATTAGAGAGAAAGAAATGGTATGTAATGTAAAGTCACCGTCCACCATGACGATCATGGACACAACTCCTCCTCTCTCCACCGTTTGATTTTTTAGTTTTTCTTAAAAGATTATTCAAACATGTGTCTGTCCCTACTCTCTCTCTTTCCTTTTTTTTAATTATCTTTTCTTGATTTGTTGTGAATGTGATTAAGTAACTAATGCGACGAGACCAACACCATTCATTATAAGATGTACTTTGGTTATATGTATTTTTGAGATCTTTACCACTTAGTTTTGACTTTGAGATCACATCATTCTTATACACCAGAAAAAAAAAAAAACTAGCTAGGATGAAATTTTCTTTTGTGTGGAATTATGTATTTAAATGTCAATGGTAATGTTATGAAAGCATTCTATACTTACGAATAAATGAAGAATAATGTGTCAGATACCGAATTGTAAGAGTAGTCTTATTACCAAATTCTTTTTAAAAAAATATAGTAGTAATAACCAGAGAAAATTCAGATGCCAATCACATCTCATCTCTGATCTATCTTTCATTTTTTTTTTCTTTTTATAAAACGAAATGGTAATGTTGTAATAATGAAATGGTGTGTGAGGTGTAGGCAAAATGATGGAGCGTGATCCGACGGTTAACAAGTGACGATGAGGATTTGGACTTTTTTTTAGAGGTTAAAGACAAAAAAGTCGTGCCTCAGTCGTGCTTTATAATCTCACAATTTTGCATTTTTCCATACGCTAATAACAACAACACAACTACTAGTCTACTACGGCATCAACTATATAAGTCCATCAAACCTCAAAAACATATAATTTAGTAATCACTAGCAAAACAAGTTTAGACAAAAACAAAAGTGTGGTTACGTTCTTGGCATTTCTACCTAATATCTTTATTTATTTTTTCACTCACAGTCTCACACCATACAATATAAGATCAGACTAATGTTTTCCCATTTTAAACCATCCAAAATGTAACATAAGCTCGCTCTGTCTGCCCCCAATACATTTTACATAGAAATAGTTCTTGAACACATGTAACACTTTCCTAACTTGTCGTCTTTGTTAACATTTTGATATTAGACAGTAAAGGAAACCTAAAGTCAGAGAGTGCAGAGAAGCGAGAAGTGGAAATAGCTGTACTGGATTTAACACTCCTGAGCTATGGTGACTTCAGTTTCAGCTTTTTCTTCATCTTCTTAAACTGCAGCAAAGAAGAGGAAATTAATACATTTATAAGCCATTAATGATAACAATGAACTCACTAAGAGAAGAATTAACTTACCATGTAGAGAATGCTAATTCGACCAAACAGAGCAACAAAATTAGTGAAGAAGGTGAAACAATGTTGCACATAGTCCATATCACCATCGTGTGCTTTCTCTATTATTATCTGTGTGTCCACCACTATGTATCCCAAAAAGATCATGAGTACAAGGTATAGCTGCAAAATGAGAATGTATCTGTTAATGCAACCAAGTTTGTTTCCTACGATGAACATATATACAAAATCTCTCCCATCATGAAGACAAAGTTCTTACGTCAAACATGACGAGAAATGCAGAGCCAGAGCCTCCCAAGATCGGAGAGGCAAATTTAACCCACCAAAGGACGGACATACAACTAGAAATTGAAGCTCCGAGGTAAAGATACTCTCTACGCCTTGCCAACATTGCTGCAGCAGAGAAACACGCAAATACTACTGCTGTTCCCACAAATGCAGTGATCAGGACCCTGGTATTATTATAAACCAAGGAAACACAACAAACATCCAACACTGTCATCAGATAGATCCTAGTTAGAAGCTTGTGTATATAGCAAGACATGAACACTGATCACTCACCTTGTATCAAAATTTATGACCTTGTTGATCACTGGACCATCTGAAGCACCTTTAAGCAGGGCAGATAGAAACAGAAGTGAGAGACGCTTTGCTGCATCAAAAGCAAACATTAGATAAATTTGCAAGGAAGGAACAAAGGGTTTATATATATATAGGGATACATATAAGTGTAAGTGATGAAGTGAAACCCACATAAACGTTCATATGAAGGAGTGAAGCGCAACCAGAACATGACTCCAGTAAATCCAAGAGAAGTGAGAACTCCACCGATATTATAACGCACATGGAGGTAAGCTCCAAACGCAGCCACAAGAAGAGCACAGCATAACGTGAGATAGACCTACACGACGAACATAGAATCAAGAAACACCAAGAAAATCTCTTAAAGAAGTGCGTTTGCTTTCAACTAATCGATACGAACAATCAAGAACACAAAAACGAGAGCCAAAACAATACAGAACTGAGAAAATACACCGATAAGAGCAGAGCATAACGTAAGATAGACATACAACGAACATAGGATCAAAAAACACCGATCAAGAAGTGCGGTTCCTTTACACTAATCGATAACAACGATTCAAGAATACAAAAAACGAGAACCAAGAACAGTATCAAACTGAAACACTATCACGAAACAGACTGTTGCATTGAAACGAGATGATTCTGCACGAGTCTCATCCCAAGAAACAGAAGCTTTGCGTGAAAGTTCACGAAGAAGTTACCCGCTTAAGATGATTCTGCACGGCCGGAGAGATTTCACGGAAGTTTCTGAGACAGTCATATCCCCAAATCCCACCGTTCTGAGGATCCATCGTTGCTTTTGCTTGATTATGCTGCAGAGAAGAGAGTTTTTCACATGCGAGTGCGAGACTTGCCATATTTATACGGTTCCAGTTTTTAACATATTTCCATAACTACCCTTGTCCACGTGGATTTCCTCAGAAGAACACTCCAAAATGGCGGGATGAGCTTCTTTAATACAGACGATTGTGTGAAGTAAAAAAAACGTTACGTAGTTTCCATCTGAGATAAAGAAACGACATACAATGTTAACTCCTCTGACCGTGCTTTATTAAAGAACCCACTTATTGAAACTGTGAGTGAACTGAGGAAACAGAGAAAACCATAACAATGGCGTTGAATCTGCAACAGCATTACATGATCATGCTTTGAATTATCTACGCAGAGAAGGGGTTGTTGAAAAATGTACATTTATTACTTTGTCCTTTTGCTTAAGATTTTACATCAGAGAGTATAAGAAACACCAAAGCCAGAAGTGCAGAGGAGACACACAAGTACACAAGTCATTTACAATCTAAAGTCTGTTGTATTAGTCACAACGGGAGACACACTAGCAACCAGAGTCAAAGGGGAAAGTGGAAAGAGGGATGGCTTGTTTGAACACACTGTTTTGGTGGTTTTTAGTTTCTTCTTTTCTTCTTCTTCTCTTCCTTATCAGCAGAGTTCTTCAACTGCACCAAAAGATGAAAGGGGGAAATTTGATGTGTTGTTATACTTATAGATAGAGAGTGCCATTAAAGATGACTGAACCCACCACCAAGGATTAAAGACAGATACTTACCATGATGATGAGAATTCGAACAAACACAGCAACAAAATCAGTGAAAAGGGTCAGAGAATGTTTCACATAGTCCATGTCACCAAGGTGTGCTTTCTCTATTATCTCCTGTGTGTCCACCACCATGTATCCCACAAAGATCAAGAGTCCAAAATATAGCTGCAAAGGAGAATGTAAACGAATTACAAGTCAGGCTTTCGATGAAAAGATTATACAAACAAAATCTCTATCCTTGTTGGGTATTGAAGAGTGAAGGCAGTTTACCTCAAACTTAAAGACAGATGCAGATCCCCCAAAGATTAAAGACGCAAACTGCAGCCACATAAGGATGGACAGACCGGAAGAAAGCATAGCTCCAAGGTAAAGGTACTCTCTACGCCTTGCCAACATTGCTGCAACCGAGAAACACACAAACGCCACTGCTGTTCCCACAAATGCAGTGATCAGGATGCTGGAAAACAAACATCCAACAGTCAGCTCCTACAGAGAGTAAATTTGTGATTGCTTAAGAGATCATGAAGAAACAATTACCTTGGGTCAACATCAATGGCTAATTTGATCAAGGGACCTACTGAAGCACCTTGAAGAACGGCAGAGATGAATAAAAGGGAAAGCCTCTTTGCTGCATTAAAGCAAAAAAAAAAAAAGAGTAGAGTTTAAGGATCCAAGATTGAAAAACTTAAAAAGCTTGGACACATCTCCAAAGAACAACAAGTGTAAATGATGAAACCCACATGATTGTTGATACGGAGGAGTAGAAAGCAACCAAAGCATGCTTCCAAAGCATCCAAAAGTGGTAAGAAGTCCACCAATATTCCAGAGCATATGGAGGTAAGCTCCAAAGGCAGATGCAACAAGAGCACAGCATAACGTGAGATATACCTACACAAACCTCAACACTGAGTACACTCTTTCACTAAAAATCGAGAACCAAACCACAGAAAAACACTTTCGAACAAATTGGGATCTCAAAAACGAAATGATTCCAAATCAATCGGATCCGAAGAACTAACCCGCTTAAGATGATTCTGCACGGCTGGAGAGATCTGGCGCAAGTTCTTGAGAGAATCATAGCTCCAACTCCTACGGTTCTGAGAGTCAAAGAAGGATGAGAACGCTTCCATTGTTGTTGCTTCTGCTTTGATTTTTGCTTGAGAGAATTGAAAATGTTATTCTCCAGAACAGAGACTTTCTATTTTAAAGAGGTCAACAAGTCAATATTAATAAATATGTATATATTCACTGATTGTATGTAATTTGACAATAGTACCCTCAACAAAAGGCCGGGATGGGCTTTTAATACGAGCCCATGAAAACAGTCAGTTTCTTTTTTGTTTATATGCGTGCTAGTAGGAGTGCAGAAAAACGTAACGTAGTTTCTATTTCGGAGAAAGAAACGACATACATGTTACTCTCTTTCAACGATAACACCGTCTCTGCTTATTTAGAACCACTGGTTGAGGAACTGTGTGTGAAGTAAAGAGAAACCATAAACAATGGCGTTGTTCTCCCCGCCAATCTCTTCTTCATCTCTTCAAAACCCCAATTTCATCCCCAAATTCTCATTCTCTCTCCTCTCCACTAACCGCTTCTCTCTCCTCTCCGTCACTCGAGCTTCCTCCTCCGACAGTGGAATAACCTCTGCCGCGGTAGAGGCTCCTGAACCCGTAAAGGTGATAGTTAAAGAGGCTCCACAATCAACACCGGCGGTTAAAAAGGAAGAAACCGCCACCGCCACCACTAAAAATGGCGCCGTCGAAGGTGAAGAGATGAAGACAACGGAGAGTGTTATCAAATTCCAAGATGCGAGGTGGATTAATGGAACTTGGGATCTGAAACAGTTCGAGAAAAATGGCAAAACCGATTGGGATGCTGTAATCGTTGCTGGTTAGATCCTCCATTTTACTTTTTCGTTTCGTTTTTGCTCTAATCACCATGTTTGGTACTTAGGGATCAAACACTCTACATCAGAAAGAGTGTTTGATCATTCATAGCAAACCAAAGAGGGAAACTTGAATAAGCAAACACTCTCTCTGGTTGAGAGTGTTTTGATCTCTTATATATGTTGAATTGTTGATGAAGCGAAGTTTGAAATATATGTTAATGTTTTTGGAAGAGGCAAAGAGAAGAAAATGGCTAGAAGATAATCCAGAAACAACAACTAACGACGAACCAGTGCTTTTCGATACATCGACTATCCCATGGTGGGCATGGATGAAGAGATACCACTTACCTGAAGCTGAGATCCTCAATGGTTTGATTCCTCGCAAAACGCTTAAAGATCAATGAAACACACACAATCTACTAACTCATGTATGTTTGTTTGCTCTTTAATCGTTGCAGGTCGTGCTGCGATGATAGGATTCTTCATGGCTTACTTTGTGGATAGCCTTACCGGAGTAGGACTTGTCGATCAAATGGGGAACTTCTTCTGCAAAACACTCTTGTTTGTGTCCGTGGCTGGAGTTTTGTTTATTCGTAAGAATGAGGATGTGGATAAACTCAAGAGTTTGTTTGATGAGACCACATTATACGACAAGCAGTGGCAGGCAGCTTGGAAAGATGATGATGAGTCCTTGGGTTCAAAGAAGTGATAAAAAAAGGAGTCTTGTTTTCTTTTTTTTCTTTTCTCGTTGTTTTGATGCTGTAATTAGGAGTTGATGCACTTACCAAATGTAATATGATGATGATGAGATTTGAACAATGTATTCCCGATTTGGAATTCGAGTTAGATTTTTCTGTAAAGACCAGGCTTTGATTTCTGTCATTATTTCTCCTATTCCATAGATTCAGGCTTATGTATTTGATTGTTTGTTTACTTGCATTAGCTATTTATTAACTCTGGAATCACTTGAAAGGTTCAAATAGTTATCATCATCATCGGGTAATTGAGTTCAAAGAAGTGAAAACAGAGTTTCTTATTAGCTTAAGGAGATTTGAAGATGTTTTCTCAGGCATACTTGACTCGCAAAACTCATTAAAGTGCTCACAAACAGAGAAATATTGAACTATTGAATGCGTTGCTGCCGAGTGTATTCCCAGAGGGCAATGGCGCCGCTGACATGAACATTGAGGGACCTAACAACTCCAAGTTGTGGGATCTCGATACAAGCGTCCAGTATATGAATTATATCCACAGGGATGCCTTCCTTTTCACGACCCAGCACCAAAACCTTACAACAGAGAGAACAAGGACCAAAATAGAGATTTAGTTCTTACTGGAACGCAACAAGTGAGAGAGCAAACAAAAGCCTATATTCTTGTGTTACCGTCTTCTTTGGAAATTGGTGTTTGTCAAGTGAAATGCTATTCGCTGTCTGTTCCAATCCCAAGATTGAGAAGCCATCCCGTTTCTTCTTCTCCAAGAACAGTTTCAAACTGTTCACTGGGACTTCCATGATTGGAACCCATTTCTCAGCAGTTACACTGCAGAAAAGAAAAAGAGAAAAACTCTCGCACCGTCCTTTCTTGATACAGAGAAATTACAGGAAATTATAGCCATACCTGATTAGCTGGAATTGTTTGTCATGTATTATGTTTGCATCTGCAACAACAAGACCTGATGCTTTAAACACCTGCAAAAGATGCAGAGAGGGAATGTCAAAGCTGAACTAGATACAAGACTCGTAACTTCCTTTTTTCTTCCTTAGATTGCAGAAATGACAAGGAAATACACAAAGAAAGTGATAGCTATACCTCACATGTCCGCGCTAATCCAGCAAGATTAGGAATACGATCAACCAATGAAGCCACAAGGATCAAACTCTGTCGGTCAGATTTCAACCTTTCGACTTCCATGCTTCTAGATCGTAAGAGCTGACTAACAAGCTCATCTTCTTTTTCCATTTCTGAAAAGTTACCCGTGTTGGTACATAATCATGTTTACCAATAATAACATTGAGTGCAACAGCTATATAATATTTGCATACCAAAGAGCCGTTTGTAAGTTTCCCCGTTTCGGAGCACAGAAGTTGAGCTAGCATCTTGCTTCTCATGTTTGGACAGAGTGATCTTCTTTTGGAAGTCCAACGAAGATGGCTCAGAAAGCTTTTGTTCATCTTTAGTGGACACGGTCAACCGACAGTCGGGCAATTCATTCATCTTGAAGCCTTCATTCTTAATGGTAACTACATCCTTTGCCATGGAAGCACGAAGATCTTCTCTTACGTCCTGTAAAGCTTAAAGATAAGGTAGAGAGACAGAAACAGAAATATAAAGAACATTCTTAAATATGTTTATTTTCTTACATTCAGAAATGAGAGCACGTTATCCATGAGGCATGTTGGAACACATTCAAACTCAGTGTCCTGCAAAACCATCACATAATTATTTTAACGAAAAATGGCCTTGAAATCCGAAAGCAGCTTTGTGCAATTACAACAACCAAATGTCGAAGGACGAACAGGGTCCACACCAAAAAAATATATATATATATCAGAAATTTCAGAAATGTCTAAGAAATTCAATTAGGTCGTTGGCTACAAGAGCAACTTGAAGACAGCATTGTTACCTCAACACGATTGACGAAAACACCAGCCGGAGTAGCAGATGTGCTGGGATCATAGGCATCAAGAAATCCTTCCATTGATGCTCGCAATCTAGACCAGTAAAGATAATTCACGACTGAATTTGTGCAATAAACCAAAACTTTCTAGATGGCTCTGTTCACAAAAACATTGTTTCTAAGACCAACATGAAAGAGTGTAATCACACTGAGTATAACCACACACCTCGAACAATCAGGATTCTTGTCCAGGTAAGACTTCAAATTCTCAAAAGAAAGTTTCTCCAGGGGTATTGTTTGAGAGGATGCTGACTCCACAGGGGGAAATAGTCTAAAGAGTACTCGATGCACTAATAACTGCCAAACCCCAAAAGAAGATGAAATAAGAGTGATACTCAATTAAGGCTAACATCTACCAAAAAGAAACCTGATGGCATCTATATAAGACCAACCTGAGCAAAACCACGTAAGCTATGATGATGAGAAGTTAATAACGGTATTATTGGTGGAAGAAGTTCTCTCAGATGTGTCTGTTGAGCTGTCTTTTCGGCATGTAGGATGATATTGGCTGCTACGAAGACATAGGACGAGAGAGCTTGCTGCAGATAACAGGAGAACATCATTCAACATATTGAACTGAAAACTCTAACAAACTACTTCCATTTTAGTTGTATTTTGCGTAATTTACCTGAGCTTTAGTGTCATAATTTTTTAGTATAGGAACTAACTGCTCTTTAACCTGTGATACAACAACCAATAAGTGGTTACTTTATAAAAGAAAACAGAAAAATGTGTAACAACACAGCCCGTTAGGACAGAAAACTCTTTATAATTTGATTACAAATTTATACCAATGCTGGAAAGTTCAGGTAAATGTTGATGGCAAATGTTTCCAGGTATTGTCGAACAGCAGGCAGGTTATTTCTCTGCATGCAAAGAAAACACAAAAAGCTTGGATTTAACGTGACAAACACAACTCTTATCCAAATCACTGGCACTCGTCTAGTCATCAACGCAGCAATCATTTCCTATATCAGTTTCTGTCAGAATGATTTCTCATGCATAATATGTGCGAGCTACAAAGCTTCAGTCTGCTCTTGTAAACTTACATGTAAGCATATGTGCACACTGTCCATAACTTGGTGAACAATGTCATTGCTGACAAATCGCGACATAATGCATATCATCTGCCAAGCACGTATTTTCCGTCTATGGATCTGTAAAAAGGAACCAGAAATTACTTTTAGTGATTTATCGTTGACAAAGTGTTCATCTAAAACTTAATGAACGAACATAAAGGAAATACATGCAAACACTTACAGCACTATACTTCTTGTAAAGCTCCTTCGACAAGTCTTTATCATGCACCTGTGCATATCATTATATTTAAATTTTCGGCATATTGTTGGGCCTGCTAAATTTTATCAATATTTTATGAAAACTAACAAACAATAAGTACCGCTGCATCAAGAAGCTCCAACAGAAACAATTTTCCAGCCACAAGAGCATCCTGACAATCTTGGTTTTGACTGGCTGGTTCAACCATATTGGCCAAATTAGCCAGCTTCTGAAACAGACCAGCAACAGAGACACGTGCATACAACTCCGTGTTGATGAAAAGCTGAAGAAAAATACAAAATGTGTCATCTTACTAAGTCAAATATTCAGGCAATCTATCAATCCATCATCTGTTAGAGCTGAATCCTACTTCTGTCAGTTCAGGGTCTGGACTTTTGGCCAATAATGATACTTCAGTTCTTGCATCATTATTGTCAGATAATTCCGCTTCAAAATCTTCATCAAAAGCAACTAAAATCATAATAAAGTGGTAAGCAATTCAATATCACAAATTCATTGCAATAACAGCTTGAGAGAAAATATAAAGCCATTACAGACCAGAACCATAGAGTGTCAGGAGCCTCAATTCTTTTATATAGTACTTTATCGTCCTTGGGTACATGAGCCAGAGTCCTGTTAGGTGCAAGGCCGCAAGGCGAATTGTGCGGGGACTTTTTTGACCTTCCTCGAGAACTTTTTCAACAAACTGTGAAACAATACATTGCATATAACACACATTTTTTCTCTTCGGTTCCCTCAATTTATTTAATTAAGAAGGATTGAAGCATACCCACTTCAGCGGACCATTTCCATCTTCAGCTATGTGCATATCTTTATTACTAAACAAAGAAGAATGCAACACAGAAGACAAAAGTGCAGCAATAGGTGCAACCCTTCTTTTTTTGCAGCTGATATGCAATATCCAACATGATTTGACCAACTGCCACATCGTCTGCTTGAAAAGCATCACAAGAAATGAAATATTTAATAATTCTTCATTAAGGATGAACACAAAATTTCCATCCAATTTAGATAAAAAATAATCGTAAAACCTGAGTATCCACGCCCAGGAAACCATCCAAGGATGATTTTCCAGACGCAAGTATCCCCAAAGCGAGTCTGACAGATTTCAGCATAGGCAAAGCGGAACCCTCCCCAGCATTTTCAAGGCTGCCAAATCGTAAAGAGAAAATTAGAGGTCATACAGAAAAAAATATAAGCATGTTTACATCCTAGGAAAGGTCCAAAGTTGACTGAAAAGTATCAGAAAGAAATTAGGTTATAACTGAAATCTACTAGAGTTAACACTTACGAGAAAGAAAGTTTTCTCAGGTACTTATATGTATCTTTAATATTTGTATCTTCTCGAAAGAATGAGAAAATGCCAAGCAACCGATTAAAAAAAAAGCAATTTCTTATCCTAAGGAACGACTACTTAGAGTATAAAACTGAAAAACCAAATCCAACAAACATATCCCACCTCTCTACAATGTCCTGAAAAATGCTTTTAACAGTATCATCTGAGAAGAACGACTTTCTATCCCCTGGAATACGTCTGGCATCAAGAATGTGCATGACTGATAACAGAGACTCCACACAAAGCCACTGAATCAAGTACAAAAGGATCAGAGACTCAGAATTTTCCTTTGGCCATTAAAAACAAAAGGCTGCTGATAAGCAGATCTTGTAATATCTATAACTCCACTGGTAAAGGCTACAGCACTGTCAAATATTAAAATATGTATTACCTTCCAGCTTAGCAGAACTGCCCTTCTACTTCTTACCAGAAGTCCTGCTGTGAGAAGATGATTAATGTTATGGAGGAAAGCCGGAACCGAAACTTGTAACCAAAATTCACCATCTACCATGGATAACAATGTATTATCATTTTCTAATAGGTTGA